AAGAGGGAGCCAAGAGTGAGCTTTAGTTCTTTCTGTGATGATTTTTATTTTATATACATATATATGATCCAAATATATATATATATACATGATGCAATATATATATATATGATCCAAAACATTTTTTATTCATTTATTTATTTATTTTTAAAGATTTTATTGGGGAATTGGGGGAGGGGAACAGTGCTGGGGAATTGGGGGAAGGGGAACAGACAAGTTGCTGTCCTTTTGTTCTTCAGTCTAGTTATGGAGGACGTCGCTTCACTGGCCCATGTTGGTATTATAGTTGCGCTCTTCCCGGGTGAGGCAGTCGCTCGCCGGTCATTGATTGGCCGCTCACGGCAGCTCGCGGCAGCTGCCGGCCGCTCATGTTGGCTGCCAGCCACTCACAGTAGCTCAGGGCAGCCCACTGCCACCCCACTGCAGCCTACGCTGTCACCAGCGACTCACGGCAGCCCAGCTCCAGGTCGAGCTGCTGTTCACCATCTTATCTGTAGAGGGCAGTGTCACTGGCCCTCATGTGGTATCCGAACCGGGGCCCTGCTGCTCAGAGCTGGCGTCCCAAGCCAACTCTTACCCAGTGCAGCACTCGGCCAGCCCCACGTGATCCAAAACATTTTAAACAAAAAAATATTTTTGGAGGGCTATAGGTGTTTATTATAACATTTTCTGTACTTTTCTGTATGCTTCAAATATTTTTAAATTTGAATTAAAAGCAAAACAAAAAGAGTGCTATTCATGTAGTGAAACCAGGCAAAGCAGGGGGGATGGCAGCAAGAGGTCATCATTTCCCATCCCTGCCTGGAATCCCGTTTCTGACACCCCCTCCCAGCTGTGTCCCAAGGACTCAGCCGCCTCCATCTGACATAGGCCTTGCTGGCACCACCTGGGTTCCTGGAGGTCACCTGCCCCTGGTTTCCTGGTGGAAAATCTACCTCCTCACCCATCCCCCCCCACCACATACTCTTACTGGGTGCACATCCTAGGCGTGACACAAGGTCAAGCAGAACATATGGGATTTAGAGCCAGAAAATCGGGGTTCGAACAATTGTTTTGCCATATCTTGGCTGTGTGACCCTGAGCAAGTCATTCTACTTCATGTTAAGGGTGATAGAACAACAAGAGAGAAGGAACCTGGGTCCCTCACAATTGTAGAGCTGACCTACCATCCCTGGACACCTCACCTCACCTCTGGTCTCATTAACAGTTGAGAGAAAGAAATTCCATCTTGTTTAAGCCGCTATTATTTTAGGAATTAATTGAGACAATATCTGCTCTTCCCAGAATGTCCTCCGCTCAATATTATCTTTTTTTTTTTAATTGGGGAACAGCCATGGTCATTGGTTACACATTGCTTTCATGCTACAATGGCATAGTTGGCTCTTTTTTAAGAAGGGCGCAGCTCACAGTGGCCCATGTGGGGATCGAACCGACAACCTTGGTGTTATCAGCACCACACTCTAACCAACTGAGCTAACTGGTCACCCCTCAACATTATCTTAAACTTTGCTTCTCAAAGTGTGGTCCAAGGACCAGCAGCCTCGGCCTCAGCTGGAAATTTGTTCAAGATGCAGAATCTCAGGCAAGATTCTCGTGTGCATGTTGGAATGTGAGAAGGCCTGCTCTCAGCCTGGGATATTAAGAGGGGCTTTCCTGTGGCCCTGGAATTGCTAAAGCCACAAAATTGGGGAAATCAGGGACAAAGTAAGTACCCCTTGGTTGCAGAGTTGCCCCCAGGGCAAACAGGTCTGCTCTGGTCACTTCCACCAGCCCCCCAGGAGCCTCTGTGAGAGAACGGAGGGCAGAAAAAGACTCAGGAGCAAGGGAGAATGTTGTGGCTTCTCCCTTTCAGTGGCCACCAACACTGCCCCCTGCAGGTCACCTCAGGAGGGCTGCAAGGTGACCTGGGAGGGGTGCCTGCAAGGGGAACCTAGGGAGTATCCCATTCCCTGGAGGGACGGCTCCAAACCATTTGAACAAGACATCAGGGGAGGAGGGATGAGTGGGAAGGGGCAAAAGTCTTTTCTCCTAAGGGGTGTAGTTCTGGTGCCCCGAGGCTGAGATGTCCCAGGGAACATTACCCCGTCCTGGGGCACATGTGAGCTTTCTTCAGGGGTGCTCCTGGGTCTCTGCACCGCCTGACACCTGACAGAAGAGATGCCTTCTTGTGTGGTTCCTTCTAACCTCAGTTTCTTATTCTGCCAGGGTTCTTTAGCCTGTGGAGGGCCCTGGGAAGCTCCTGTGTCCACTCACAGTAAGCACACATCTTTGCCAAATGATGGAGGCCAGGCTACCCTTTCTCTCTGCCTGCTGCCCCTCTCCAATTTTTTTTCTCCTCCTGATTAAGTTGAGGACCCATTCCAGAAAAGTCAACATTCAAATTGTAGGACGTGCGAAGGAGAGAGCAGGAAAAAACAGAAAACAGAAGGACAGAAATTATTCCATCATAATAGCCAAAAACTGGAAACACTCAACTGTCCATCAACTGATAAATAGATAAACAAAATGTGGCATATCCATACAATGGAGTACTATTCAGCCATAAAAAAGAGTGAAGTACTGACACATGCTACAACAGGGATGAACTTTGGAAACATAATGCCAAGTGAAAGGAGCCAGACACAGAAGACCTGGCATTGTATGGTCCCATTTACGCGGAATGCCCAGAATAAACAAATCTACAAAAACAGAAAGTAGGTTAGTGGTTGCCTATGGAGGAATTAGGAAGGGTAACAGCTAAGAGGTACGGAGTTTCTTTTGGGCAGTAGTAAAATGTTCTAAAATTGATTGTGGTGATGGTTGCACAGCTCTTTGAATGTACTAAAAGCCATTGAACTGTAGTCTTTAAATGGGTGAATTGTGTGGTATGTGAATTGTACCTCAATAAAGCTGTTCAAAAAAAAAAATCAAGAATTCAAGAAGTTTCCAGACTCAAATGGCACATCAGGTGCCAATACAATGGGCCCATTATCATGAAATTTCAGACACAGATATTCTACAAGCCCAAGAGGAAAAACTAGGTCATATTTTCCTAAAAAAGGTCAGGAGCTACAATGGCTTCAGACTGCGCCATGGCAACATTAGAAACTAGAAGAGAAAGCATCATCATGCCAACATTCTGAAGACAAGTGCTTCCCCACCCCGAGGCCTACAGCCAGCCAAACCACCGTCAGTGTGAGGGGAACATGTGAACCTGCCCTGCTTGGAAGGCTTCCCCTCTCCAGCCCTTCTCAGAAAGTTAGAGGTGCGTTCCACCAGTAGGGAGGGGTAAACAAAGGACAATGTGGGGTGCGGGGGGAGGGGCAGGTAGGGGGGATCCCCACAGCAGAGGGGAAGGGATTCCCGGAAGGTGGTGAGGGAGACCCTAGGGTCACAGCCGAGCATCGGGCATAGAGAACAGCCAGGCCACAGCGAGATACCTCCACTGTGTTTTAAAATAAATAAAATATAATCTATCCTCCCCTAGATAAAATAAGTGATGAATATAGGAAATACAATATACAAAAAAGAGGAGTCTAGCTCAACTGCCACCTGCATGCATGTGGTCATTTGCCAAGGAGGTTTCTCTTGCCCCTCACGCCCGGCCACCTGAGTCCTTTGGGGCCCTTGTGCTTTGACCTTTTCCTGAAAGCCAGAGTTGTCACTGGGAACTGAGAAGCAGGAATCTAGAGGCGCCTGCTCCCCTCTACACATTCTTGCCAGGTACAGAGACACAGACCTCACAGCAGACCTGCAGGGAGCCCCGAGGTTTCTGGACTCATTCATGGCCTTTCCCACCGACTTCTCCAGGAGAGACTCTTGTCCCCTCTCAGGAGAGCTGGAGGCCGACAGTGAGCAGAGGTTCTGTTCAGTGGCCCTCCCCAGGGAGCCTTCACCCCACAGCAAGACAGGCCCCCTTCCTTGGTGGCTGGGCTCGGCTTCCATCCAGTTTCTGTATTGACTACCTTTTCCATCCATTTATAGGCAAATCCTGCCTTTTTAAAGTTTTCCTTTTGTTTGAGGAAGAAAATAAAGAATGGAGACAATAGTGTGCCCAAAAGGCATGAACTCACAGAAGCCAGTGTGCAGAGGAGTACAGGTGAGTGCTGTTCAAATGGAAAGTCTGAGGCAGACAGTCAAGCCATCAAGGTGGACTAAAGGGTGGACATCTGGACCATGCGGAGGGCTGGGACTTCAGCTTGCAGACCAAACCCCCCCCTAAAGGTCATTCCAAACTGCCCTCTCCCTGGGCATTGCTGTTAGGGGTCTTAAGGGCAGCCTGGGGAGTCGTGTGAAGCCCAGAGTCCCCCACACTGCTGCCCCGACTCCCTTGCTGCCTGGTCCAGAGGTATCTCAGGGCAATGGACGGACACTGTACTGCTGACACCTAAGCTGCCTCGGAGCCAGAGGTCCCACAGGTGAGCAGGGCTGGCCCAGGGAGCTTGTCTCAGTTCCACGATCACACTCAGGGTTCCAGCCCTGGATGGATGTCAGGCCTGGACTGTGGCCCCAGCTCTCCCCACCAGTTCTCAACGATCAGGAAAGAGTAGAAGATGCCTTAAGCCCATCGCCAGGCCAAGTATCTCGCTGGGCCACAGATGAACCTCTGGAAAGGTGTGGAATTCAACTCATGGTAAATAGAGCCATCATGTGAATCCTGGGGGCTTTTCTCCTCCTGAGCCCCAGGGAGGGTCGTCACCCCCAATGCCTGCCTCCCTGGACTGGATTTCCATTAGTGCTTCTTCCCCACCTTTCTGCGCGCTGCAGACCTTAGGGGGCCCTTCAGAGCCTTGGTTTTCCCTTCAAAGGGGGGAACAGGGTTTGGGGGTTCCACAGCATCACCGCCCAGGAGTCCAAAGTGGCCCAATCCCAGTCACGTGCCCCGCGCCAGCATCCCTCAGAGCAGACGCGGCAATGCCGGGCATAACCACGAGGTGGCGCCAGGAAGCCGCCTGAGACGCCCAAACCCAGACCCATCCGGGCCACATTTCGCTGCCTCTCCAAGTGGCCAGTGCTGCAGGCTCAGTCCCCACTCAGCTCCACGCCCGCACCAGGGCCCTAGTTCACAGGAGAGAAGACTGGCGGGCAGGGGGTGCGGGGAGGTGATTCGGCCGCCGGGACATCCTCGTGGAAGGACCTAGGAACCACTTCGGTCCAGAGCCACCTGGAGGCTGGATGGCACCCGCATTCTTCTGGGATCCTGGATGTGCCTCCATCAGGTGAGCAGCACACCCTCCCTGCAGGGCCCATTAGGGTGAACCTTGCTCTTCCTGGATTGTAAAGGGTGTGAGGTGGATAGAACATGGAAGAGAAATAGTAGAAGACATAACCATTGGCAGAGCACCTCCTGTGCCCAGCTCTGCCTGTGCCCAGCTCTGGGCCAGCCTTAATCAATATTTCTAATCTTTACTGTATGTTCCTATCTCCAGCCCTTCTCCGCGGCATGGAAAGATTCTGTGCCTTGCCCGGGCTGCACAGCCATTGGTGGTGGGAGCTCACTGGCATTGGAGCTCACATCTGCCATCCACCCCAACCACAACTCCAACCCCAGGCCTCCCCAACCACACCCGGGACCCTCAACCCCATGGCTGGTCAGAGGTGCTGACCACTGTGCTTGTCCAGGAGTCAGTCCAAGCACCTGGCACATGCCTAACCTGAGGCCCAGGCTCCTGCAGCCTGAGGAAGCTGAGTCCCAAGGACAGGCTCCCCACCCCTACCTAGTCCCACCCCTGACCTGGAGTCACCTCCCTTACCCCCACAGTCATGGAAAGAACAGGGGCATTGGAGCCCCACAGACCTGGAATAAAGCTGGTTCTGCACTTACTGGCTTGGCTGTGTGCTCTTGGGCAAGTCCTCCAACCCTTCTGGGTCTCACTTTCCTAATCTGTAAAAATGAGTGTTCATACCCACCCTTGTGAGTTGCCATAACTATTAGAAACCACACATATGAGGGCTGGCCAAGTGGCTCAGTTGGTTAAGAGCTCGCTCAAGAGTCTGAGCTCTGAGCACACAGCAGTTCAAGTCCCGGCCCCAAGCTGAGCAGCCACTGAGCTGCCAACAGGTAGGAAGATGGCTCAGCTAAAAAGAAAAAGAAACAAAAGAAACCACACACATGAAAGAAAATTTCTGGTGTGTAGTAGATGCTCAATAAACTCTGGCTACTGAATGGGTATTTAATGATTCCTATTTTGTGCCAGTCCTTCTGTTAGGGTTCATGGGACCCCAGAGATGAACGAGATTTTACTGCTGTTGTCCAGGAATGACTGCTGGGAAAGAAGAAATTGGCATTCTCCCCTCGAGGTCCAGAAAGAGATGGAGATGTGGTCTGACTGACACACAGGCTTCAGAAGAGGCAGCATGTTGCTGGTGTTGAATGTGGTGCATTCCAATGTTTATAACATTCCAGACTATAAACGTACTGCAGATAGCAGTGGTTGTAGCTACCTTTATTGAGTGCATACTCTGCGCCAGGTTCTTCACCTACATTCACTCAACAAACATGTATTGAGGTCCTAGTGGGTGCCAGGTACTATGCCAGGAGCTCCCCATGGGACTGTGACAGTCTAGACCACATGCAGCACACAGTCTAGCGGGGAACAGACAACAAAATCATGACATAGACATACTTGTATATGAGGTAAGTGCCCTAAAGGGAAATGTAGGGAATCAGTACTAAGGCAAGTGTGTGCTGAGGGTAGGGTGGTAGGAGCATCCAGCCTGATGCCGGCAGCAAGAGCGGGTGTCATTAGTAATAAATTTTTAAACAATAAGAACCCACTGAAAGTCAGTCTGTCTTTTATCACTATGTACCAGTAACTCTAAACAATGCCTTCACCTCCAAATTCTTTTATTGGTTTAAGACCTCAACAATTGTTTTTGTTACTGTTGACTTTCAATAATATATATGTAAGTTTCAAATTAGCACGTTTTTTATTACTCATCCTTTAATAAGTGTTGTATTCTTCTTGGAAGTTAATTGGGAGAATTGCCAGCCATTGAGCCACTCGCCACATGGGAACCCAGCTACCGGAGGCATGTGGGTGCAGAATTGTTTGTGCTCACTTCAGAAGAAGTTGTGTCTAGTCCCTGTTATACTGTCCTTTGTTTAAACTGTGGGTTTGAAATAAACATTGGTAGCATAGTTCAATGTGACTATGTGGAGTTTTTATTTCTTTAAAATTTTTCAACTGGGAAGATATTTGAAAGCTGCTAGAATCAATCCTGAAGAAAACAGACATGCACAGTTCTGCGATCTCTGGAATTTATTGTGAAATGGATTTTTTCTGAATTTCTGCCAAATTTATCCTTATGTTTAAGGCTTTCCCTAGCTATTTGTGTATCAATTGCTTCATGTGAGAAAAAACATTTCCAAATAAAAATTAATAAAACAAGATTCTTGGGTCAATTATGATCGAAGATAAATTGACAAATCTGCATAAACTATTTCTTAAATATGCAAAAATAATTTTGACAAAGTCATTGACAAACCTGCAGAAGGCTGGAAAACAGTGTAATGTTATTTATTCATTAGTGTAATAGATGTATATATACATTTTCCCTTTTATCAAAAACAGAAAAATGCATTGATGTAATTAAAAAGTATTAGTCCATTACTTATTTCTTTTTTTGTGCTATAATATTTTATTTTTACTATGATTATATATATGTATGAAATTCAATTAAAATTTTTTTCACTGCATTTTGTTATTGGTTACTATTACTATTCATGTCATGATTATTATTGAAAATAATGTATAGAAGAGGGATATTAAAAAAAAAAAAAACTATCTGCTCCTGTATGGAACAATGTAGCTATGCCACTGCTGTCAGGGAAGGCTTCCCTGAGTAAGTGACATCCCAGCTGAGGCTTGAAGGGTGAGCTGGAGATGGCCAGGAAAAAAGGAGTATGCCAGAAAGAGAGGAGAGCACATGCAAAGGCCCTCAGTCAAAGCAGAGCTTAGTTTGTAGGAGAGACGCAACACCAGCCTTGTAGCTAGAGCTGTGTGAGCAAGGCGAAGGGCCACAAGCTGAGACTCAGAGGGCAGCAGGGGCCATGTGATTGGAAAGGGATTTGGTTGAACTATGAAAAAAACCAAAATAACTGACTTAAACTGGATCACAGTTTATGTCTGTTTCCCATAAAAGAAGCCTACAGGTAGGCAGGAGTGTGCATTACAGTGTCAGGGACCAGGCCTTTTCCATCTTTTTGCTCTGCCAGCCTCAGCATTGGCTTCCTCCTTGTAGCCCAAGATGGCTGCTTGAGTGTCAGCCATCATGTCTACATTCTTGTCAGCAGAAGGAGGAAGGGACAAAGGAAGCCCCGCCCTGCCCTCTGGTAAGAACACAACACCTGCCTGCATCCAACTGGCCAAGATTTCATCACATGGCCGACCTAGCTACAAGGAAAGATGGGAAATGGTGTCTTCGCTTAAATGGCATTGTGCCCAGCTACAAAAAAGGGGTTCTCTTTCTAAAGAAGAATGGATGATGGGGGAGGGACAAGTGTCTCTGTCATACCATAAAAAAATTTTGGGTCTTTATCCTAAAAGCGATGGTGAGCTTTGTCCTAAAAGCAATGGTTTTAAGAACAAGAATAGCGTGCTCATACCCCCATTTTAAGATGGTAAGGAATGGCTGGGGAAACCCGGGTGGCTTCATGGAGGCAGGAGAAGGCCCCACCAATGATCCAGGCACAGTGGCATGGAAGTAGAATGGATGTGGAAGGAGACATAGAGAAGGGTATCAACGATGACAAGACTGCTAGCTGGAGGTTGGAACGGTTACTGAGGTTGGCTAGAGTGGAAGAGAAGCAAGTGTGTAGGTGACGTCATGAGTTCAGTTTTGGACTTAAGATTTCCAAGGTGCCTGTAATGGGGGTGTTGGTGGTCAGTTAGATATACAAGTCCAGAGCACAAAGAGTGGTCTAGAAGGCAGCCAGGAGTGTACAGCTCAAAGCGAGATGTATTTAATGCTACATGCCAGGTGAACACACACGGGTACAAGTGAGAAGGCTGAGCCTGGGAACTCCGGCAATGGTTCTCGACCTGGCACTCACACTTCCCTCTCTGGAACTCACTCCTCATCTGTAAAATGGGGCCAAGACACCAATCCTACTGTGCAGGCACTATTGCTGCCTCTCCAAAACCATTCCTTGCGACTCCCTAACAGAACTCCAGTTATTGGAGTAACTATGGCAGAGACTGCCAAGTGCCTCAATATTCATTCTCCCTTTTTCCATAGAAATGGAAATTTCAGATGGGCTAAAGACTACATTTCCCAGCCTCCTTTACAGTGAGGTGTGTCATGTGACTGCAGTGAGTTGCGTTACAGAAGAACCCTGAGCTTAGGGCACCTGAATCTTTTCAAGTGGGAACTAAACAAATCTTCTCTTTGATCCAGAGGAAAATGCTATCTTGTAAGGCTGTTAGCTACACAAACCTCCTTGAGAGATATGCGGAAACATGGAGGATTAATTTTCTCCCTACATTGCACCAATAATGGATTTTGAATGAGCAGCAATATTGTTATAACCACTGAGACATAAAGATGAGTTGTTGGCAGCTTCTGGGAAAGTTCCTCTTTCACTGTATGTTGTTGTATCTAAACATGATGCTTGGTGACAGGCAGCCATCTTGGGACCATGAGAAAAAACACGACTTATCCTTGGCAATGGCAGAGATGAAGGCTGAAAACAGCTTTCGTCCTTGATGGATACTGTTGAGCCACTCAGTTAACCAGCACTGGAACCACTTCACCTTTGGCCATCTTGTTACATAGCAGCAGTGATGTCCTCATTGCTGAAGCCATTGGAGTCAAGTGTCAGGCTGAGACATCCTGGATATTGCTCCAATACAGCACACCTCTCTCCCTCCTAAAAGTGTTGTGAGATCACCTGGTGCAGAAACCCAGGTGCCAAGTATTTCCTCATGAGAGACAGAGCTGGCCCTATCCAGGGGATGGGGTGCAATAGCCCAGTCAGGGGCTCACCCCAAGCCATGGAACATAGTACCTTGCCTGCCTAACAGCAGAGGGCTGGACCAATGGATTTATTGGGGTCCTTTCCAGCTCAGAGCTCAATGGCTATATGACGCCACCTCACTCCACCCCAGCACAGCCACTCCTACGTTCCCAGGGTGAGGCTCAAGGGAGGGACCCCTGCATTTCTCCTGGGGTGGTGCCTGGGGCATGGGGATGTGGCCAATGGGAACTTATTCTGCCTCTTACATTCAGCACCACGCGAAGCCCCAGCAGCACAGAGGATGATGCTCGGAGGGGTGAGTGTTGGCAAGAGGAGGCTACACAACCTTGGGGGTGGGGTTACTCAGAGGGGAGTCCAGACCACCAGGAGGAGGCTTGGGGATGGGGGTGACCCTGAAGAGGAGCGAAGTCAGGTGACACACACAGCGGGTTCACAGTGTGGCTTGGGGCTGTGGATGACAGATGGTTTATCAGATCAGTTCATCAGGACTAATGGGCTGCTCTGTTACCCGCCCACAGAACATGCTGGGTGCAGATTTGAACGGGGGCTTTCTGGAGACACTGGCTTTTAAGCCAAATATGATTCTAATTGGGGGTGGGGGTATTTCAGGCACCTTGAACAAGCTGGTGGGGGGATTTGGGGGAGGAAAGCAGGGATTTTACCACCCCTCAAACCCTCAAATGACCCTCTCCTCTCAATTAAATTCAAAAGCAACTATTGAGCACCTGGAGTGTGCAGATGAAAAAAACACAATCACCACCCACTACTGGCTTGACATTCTAGAGGGGGCAGGGGATACCATTCACCCCTCAGCTAAGGCTCGCTTCCTCCCAGCAGCCTTTCCAGAGCAGCACCCTCCCGACCCCCACCCCTCTGCTCCCCATCTCATCTGCGTTACCCTCCTGCTTCCTGTCAGCCAAGTTAGCCCCCTTGGAGGCCCTCCATCTCGGCTGAGTTAACCACCCCCACACTGAAGCTGTTCCAGCGTGGATCTCCCACCCCCATCTCGCCCAGGCTGTGCCCAGCACAAGGCCAGGCACAAAGAAGACGGAACAAGGCAGGGGGCATGTCCCAAGAGGCACAGAGAACCATGAGGCCCATCTGGGAGATCCTAGCAGGAAAGGCTCCAGGAAGAGGTCGGCTAGGAAGGGGCTAGGAAGCTGGGTGTGGGGATGGCAGGTCAGGTGGAGGGAACATGGGTGCAGGAAGCAGAGGCCAGGCCCTGGGGGAGGGCAGTGAAATTCAGCTGGCAAGGCTAGATGGAGGAGGCTTGAATGGCCTTGGTGCTACAGCCCAGGGGAGCCCCTGGAGAATCCTGAGCCGAGAAATTAACCATCATAAAGCTTTAGTTGGGCCATTTATGATGTGCCAGGTGCTAGGTGTTTTATGTGTATTTCCTCTTTTAATCCTCACAAGGACCCCATAAGATAGGTATTAGCATCCCATTTGATGACTGAGGCACCACAACTACCAAGTGGCAAAGCTGGGACTTGAAGCTCAGTCTCTCTGACCCCACACCCACCAGGAGCTAACACTTAGTGAGCACTTACTGGGGGCCACATGCCTTACAGAGAGCATTTCTCTTAATCATCCCAACTGCCCTTGCGGGAACTTATCAGAGAGCACCGTTAGGCTACACTCTCTCCCCTCCACCCCCAGAAGGGGCATCAGTCTTGACTCAGGTAAAACCTTCAACACAGAACAGGCATAGGGCTGGCCCTCCACTCAGCCGGCAGCCATGTGAATGAGCCAGCTTGGAGATGGCTTCTCCAAACTCCATCAAACCTTCAGATGACTGCAGCCCTGGCCAACATCTTAACTGCAATCTCATAATGGACTCCGAGCCAGAACCACTCACCTCGGCAGCTCCCAGGCCCCTGACTCCTACTCGCTAAGTTTTGGAGTCATTTCTTCCTCCTCAATAGATAACAATACACATGCCACTCAGGGTCCAGCTGCTCCTGGCTGTGCGACTGGGCATCTTTACCTCTCTGAGCATGTTTTCTCCAGCCCAGACCTTTCTGCTGAGATCCAGATCAGTGTACTCAGCAGTCCCCATTAAGGTCCCTCAGGCATAGGAACTTGGCATGTCCCAGACAAATGTCTCTAAAATCCACTTCCCACCATGGTTCAGGCCCTCATTGTCTCTCCCTTCAATTACTGAAACA